CGAGACTTCCAGGATATCGTCATGTTCCCAATGATAAAGACATAACCTGATTGAGAATGTCCCCTATGCGGGTCTGATAAGTAACCTGCATCGACGTAGCCGACAAGGGTCACATTGTTTGGAGTACCGATTGCGGTATCCTCATTCGATGACGCGTAGAGATAAAACAAACCCATATCTTTAGTACCCTTAAGGTAACGAAAAATATCTTTGATGTCATTCCAATGGCGGCATGTTGGCACGTTGCTATGTCGAGCAAGACAATTTACAACAAATGAATTGTCCGATTTAGTACATTGGGCAAGTACAACAACGTGCCTATTGAACCCAGATATGCACTTAGGGCTCAATATCTCTTCATCGTCTTCTTTCGGACGGAATGGGTCCTTCTTGATATCTAGAGAACGAACGATCATGGGAATAGATGACGATTTTACGTCATGGTGACTAAACCGTCTTAATGCCTTTTGGGTGTAGTTTTCTTGATGGAATAAAATCCCACCTCTACGGTGCTCGATCTGCAGGCCGAGGCAATACTGTGTCTTCCCAATATCTTTTATCTCTAATTCCTTCTTCAGGATTTCAACAGTTTCCAACAACTTTTTCAAGGTTCCTATGAGATTCATATCATCTACATAGATTGCTATAATAACGTATCCTAAAGTGAATTTCTTTATGAACATGCATGGGTATAGTTCATTATTCACATATCCCAATCTGATCAAATATTCACTTAAATGGTTATACCACATCCATCCAGATTGTTTCAATCCATATAGTGATCGTCTCAGTCTAATCGATAAGTGATAACGTGTTCCATGGTTGGGAACTACTTGATTCAAGCAACTTACATGTATATCTTTGTGTCCAGATCCCCATAGAGATAGGTTGTAACCACATCCATGAGTTGCATATTTAGTTTTTTAGAAACTACTAAACTGATTAAGTATTAGAACGTTATTACGTCCATTACGGGAGAATACGTCTCCTTATGATCAATATCAGGGCGTTGAGAGAAGCCTTGCGCCACAAGACGAGATTTATATCTAACAATCTCATTATTCTCATTTCGCTTCCTTACGAAAACCCATTTATTACCAATTGGTTTTACATTGGGTGGTATGGGAGCAACAGGTCCAAACACTCTTCTTTTTGTTAAGGAATCTAGTTCATCCTGAATTGCTTGTTTCCATCGAGTCTAGTCTGTTCTACGTTGACACTGAACAATAGTATGTGGTTCTATGTCATCATTGCTCATAATGTCAGTGGCCACTGCGTATATGAACACATCATCGATGACAGTCTCGTTTCGTTTCAAAATATCGTCTAAGCTAGCATACTCGACATATATTTCTAGGTACAGATATTTCTAGGTTATCGAGATGATCTGAATATAAATCCGAAAAAAAAAATATTTCCCATTATATATTTTGATTAACCATACTACTTCAAAGTTTAATAGAAATTTGTAACTTCCTCCGGGTTGAAATGATGATCTACACAAGAAAACAATCTTGTATCCCTCCGTTTTTTGAGCGAAAGTGCCGATAACGTGTTGTAGATGAAATTAACTAGATATATATATATATATATATATATATAGAGAGAGAGAGAGAGAGAGAGAGAGAGAGGTTGGTTCAAATAGAAAC